CGGACTTCCTTAGAGGAGGGGAAAGGCGGGGAGAGAAGGGGCCGGTGCTGCCTGTGCTGGGCTTGGGAGCCTGGAGGTGCCACAACAACACAACAGCACGGCCCGCCTCCCAAGAGCCACGGGCACGGCCCACTCCCAAGAGCCACGGGCACGGCCCACTCCCAAGAGCCACGGGCACGGCCCGCCTTCCAAGAGCCCAGTGGCCATGGTCCAGGCACAGCTGAGCAGGTGGACAGCCAGCAAGGGAAGACGGGCCCAGGCTGGGGAGACAGAAACGGCTCTGACCAGGTCCCATGGACAGGCCCCGTCTGTGCTGCAGGTGGCAGCGGCAGCAGGAGACAAGGGCGGCCATGCCTGAGTTCGCAGCAGCCTCTGCATGGACGCATCGAGCGGGATCCTCCCTCATGGACATGGGCATGGGCTACCCGGGCACTCAGGAGGCCAGACAGCCCACTGCCTTCAGGCCCAGGCGGTGCAATTCTCCCTAACGGCCGGCCGAACGTGGTTCCCCAGGGGCCAGCTGTCCCTTTAGGCTGTGCTCTAAACAACAGAAGTTCTGAAAACAGACAACCCTTGGTGCCAGTGGCCTGAGTGATTCTGGTGGTCTGACTGTTTCCAGGCTTTCTTGATGCACAACTCTGGTTTTGTTGTGGTGTCCGGGCGGGGGAAGTGGGTGGGCTTGAGATCCGCCACGCCTCCCCGGCAAAGAAGAGGCCTCACTGTGCCCACACGCCCTAGGACACCATGGGGCGATCAGCTGTGGGGTCACCAAGCTCCGGAGCCTCCACGACCCCCTGTGAGTGGGAGGCGACATCAGCTCTCTCCTCACAGGGCGCCGGGACCCAAGGTGATGGATACCGTGGGCATAGTGGCGCAGGGCTGGGCACAGGAACCGACGCTGGCTTTTACTTCTATGCCAGAGCTCCTGGCCTTGGTCACAGCACCTCGAACACACCGGCAGGATTAGTAACTTACAGCATCCTCAGACCTGGGCCAGGCTGATGCTTTCATGCCCTTTGACTTCCTCTCATCCCCCATCCCTTCACCATTCCTGCTCGGTCTCAGAATCCAAACACTAAGCTGCCTGTCCTAAGACAACATATTTATTACACTTATATTTTATTTAATTTTAATTTTATTTCATTTAATTTCATTTGAAACAGCGTCTCACTCTGTTGCCCAGGCTGGAGTACAGTGGTGTGATCACAGCTCACGGCAGCCTCCAACTCCCAGGCTCGAGCAATCTCCCACCTCAGCCTCCCAAAGTGCTGGGACTAGAGGTGAGTCACTGCATCTGGCTTCAAAATCCTTCAGGCCCATGACATTTCTCACTGGACTGCCTCGACTCCCGTACCACCCAGAGAAAGAGAGTGGCAGCAGTACAATATTCAGTGATAACTTGGACGTGTTTACGTTTATTTTGTGCCTTTCTTATTCTTAATAGTTGAATTCCTTCTATATACTAGCAGAGCTAACTTATTAAGCCATATCTCTATGGGGGGGAACCCTATATTCAATATATCTTAATGGTAAACCCAATGATCTTGCTAATTAATACTGTTTGAAACTAAATTTTAACAAGTCACTAAGTTTAAATAAACAACTGAAGAAAATGACTCCTCTCTCCATGACATTCATTTAAAGTCAACATCTCCCACAGGGCGACCCGCCAAGGCCTGCTTTGTACTGGACTGAACGTGAGCTACATCAACGACACACACTCTCAGTCTCCCCGGGCTTGCAAGATTCCAGGCACGGGACAGAAAAGCAGGATGACGAAGAGTTATGACATGTAAAATTACCACTGAGCTTCATCGGCAGGTCTTTATCCCCGCGTGCGGCCGCCCCTCCACACAGAAAGTTGGGTCAGAAGTCTTACATATATATTTTCATGCAGTTCTTGACAAAGGGTCCCGCTAATTTAAACCAGAACAGCTTGGTTTCTCTCAAAAGCAAGTGTACGTTACACGGATGTGCTCCTAAGCAAAGCCCCAGCCAACAAAGGCCAGGTCTCTGCAAACAGAGGGGACCCCTGCTCCCGGCATGATGGGGAAAGAAAGGGGGCTGCGACGCACACAGCTCTGCAGGCAAATGCCACTACAAGAAAAGATGTGTCCTCGAATTCCAATGACCTCACGGATAACTAGATTTTACAGCATTTCCTGGGCTGTCACTGGCAGGAGTGAGGCGGTGGAGAAACTGCAGCTATGCTGGCGTAGCCGCCACATCAGGGCCCCGGAACACCAGATGCACAGTGAGACACAGCCCTGATGCGAGAGGACGGCCGGTGAGCCACGTGGAGAAGAACCAAGGGCACCAGGGTTTCTCAGACGGCATCCCCAGCCCGCCGGACACCGCACGGAGCAAGTGCTGCACGCGGGGGCTCTGCTGCTGCCCCTCTGCTGGAAACACCCCCACCCACTCCCCACGCCCCGGGCCTCCCCCGCAGGCAGGGTCCAGGCTGGCCCCCGGACCGCAGGCGGGCTCCAGGCTGCCCCCCGGACTGCAGGCGGGCTCCAGGCTGCCCCCCGGACCGCAGGCGGGCTCCAGGCTGTCCCCAGAAGGCCACCCCTTCCCGCTGGACTCCCCGATGGCTTAGTGAACCTCCTTTTCCTCTGTGGTCACAGGCTACTCTCCACATCCCCTCCCACTGGACTGTGAGCCCTGAACCCTGACACACCAGCGCTGGTCCATGTTGGGGAGCCCTGCTTGTGTGCCCAACACCCTGACTGTGCACAGGGGTGATGACGTCCCCAAAGCTGAAGTGAGAGCATGCTTCAGAAACACAAAATGATGCATCAGGAGAAGCCCAGGGTCTCCACACATCTACAACAGGTTACACGGACGGGCACATCCCAAACAGACGAAAGGCCACACTTCTTTGAAAACCAAGTTATCAAAATGATAAGATCTTTTCCATGAAAACTTTTGGAAGAAAACAATGAATGACCATAGAAAAGAGCAGGGCACTGAATGGCAGGAAATAATGCTATTGTTCCTCCACACCCACGAATCAAACCACCTCCACGCACAGTTCACAATACGGGGCCCGTGCAAAGCTGTCCTGGAACAGACTGCGGGTGAGTTAACACCCAGTCCCAGGGGCTTCTGCTGAAAGACTGGGCTCAGAAAACCACCCTCTGGCACGGGGTCATCTCACTCCACAAAGGCACAGGTGAACTGTCTGTGGAATTCATGAAGGAGAAGGAAGGCATCCTGGTTAGATCTATCCGGATAGCTGAACTAGTTACCTGTATGGAGAACTGTAACTTCACATATTATAAACTCCGTCTAGGACACAGAATTATGGTCTAGAATGGATCAGAACAACAAAACAGTTTATATCCATGAGTCCGTAACGAGCCTGAGAGCCTCCAGGCATGGGTCATCTTGAAATCAGGGTGTTATTTTGAATCAGGACATTGTTTGGAAAACTGGCAA